CAGGAGAGAGGTGGTGGGTGCTTTGGGAGGAACGGTTGGTGAAAGGGCTGGAGGGAGGCAGCATGTCTGGCCTGGCAGGAATAGGCCTTGGGTTACTGCTGGTAATCCTGTCTTCCTCTTGTGGGATTAGAGGAGGTCAGAACATGTGGCGTCCTTGCCGTTTTTGCATATATATATATATGCAGAGAAAGAGAGATCTAAGCAAAAGCTGCCAAAATATTAATAGCAGATGTCTCTGAGTAGGGAATGAATGGTTCTTAATTTCTTTTTTATAACTTTCTAAATGTCCAAATATTTTACTTGAAGATGTAATAGTCCAAGAGTCAAAAAAATTTTGAGAAATAAGCAAAACATTATGCATAAAAGTTATACAGATTTTATTTTGCTCCCTTATCATGTAATAAATAAAACTCAACCTAAAATATATCAGATTTCAGAACTTAACTATAGGATAGTAGTTATTGTAGGACAGTGATGTTGTTTTTGTTGTTATGTGCCGTCGAGTCGGACTCGACTCATAGCGACCCCTCCCCTTGGGTTTCCAAGACAGTATCACTATGGAAGCAGATTGCCCAACCTTCCTTCCAAGGAGTGGCTGGTGGGTTTCAATTGCCAGCCTTCTGGTTAGCAGTCAAGTGCCTTAAGCACTACACCACCAGAGGTCCTGTAAATAATCCTACCCATTAATTTAGTTTTCAGATATAAAGCCTTATTAAAAATGTTATCACCTTTGGAAATCAATACACGAATAATTCATACCCCACTTGCTGAAAGCATAATCAATTTGGACAATAAATGGAAATTACAGCCCTTTTAATAATGAGAAAGGACATGAGCTCTAAAGAAGGTTAAGTCAATTACTTCTCCATAGCCAAAGGAGAAATATGACAACTTTTCTCAGATCAATCAGCTCTCATCTGTTCTCTGACTAGAAGTATGAAATCAAAGATCTTTTCCTCTTATAACCTCAAGTCTGTTGTAAGGAGAGCTTTGTGGGATTTGTACCAATCCAGAATATCTGAAAAATGAGAGCTGGAAATGTTGTAACCAGCAAACACTGTAAAAATTACGAGTATAAGCTAGCATAACCTAGCATTAAAAATCAAACAACCCTTAACTGACTCATTAAAACAGTTGAAGAAAAAAAAAAGTAAAGGATATTCACCTTCTATTACTGATTAGGTTAAAAAGATACCACTCCTGAGCTTTCATCAAAAACTCTTGAGTACCAATTAAGTATGTATGTGATCAATACTGTACTAGATATCAGGGATACAAAGACAAGCAAGATATGATTGTAAATTGAAATGACGATTTATTATGAAACACTTTGAAGTCAGATATGAAACACAAAGGCAAACCTCTTTCTGTTTGTTTATGATCACTGATGAAAACATTAAATTGCTGGGGAAAAAAAAAAAAAAACAAATACTTATTGGCACAGAACAGGTGCTCAAATATTTGCTGAATGAAATTATGAATATTCAAAATAGAATTTGCATTGGTATTTGTTGGCTTCAATATGTTTATGATCTAAATAATACAACAAAATCATTATTTCTTCTGAATTAAAAAGTGAGTTATCTTTTAAAATTATTTTAGTTGTCTTTGCAATTGATGACCATTAAAACAAACCTAGTATGACCACTACCTATATTCAAAATTATCTCAAAATGAACCGCTAAAACTTTTGCATATCATGAAATAAATGCTACTAAAGTAAACTTAAGAATTTCCTATGGCAATTTTAATTTTGGAATGTTATTCTTTTTGATTTTTTTTCAAACAGGATGTTCAGAAAAAAATCTCTCATATCTGCTAGCACCTCAGTATTTTCCCCTTCTTTTCTTAAAATGAGGTCAATATATTAAATAATCAGGTTCAGAATATTTTTGACTAGTAAGAATTAAATTTTATTTTCTATTTGAACATACTTTTAGTTATAAAGGGGACTATAAAACCAAGCTATAATACATTCTTCTAATAAGCTAGATATCATCCAAGAAGTTGGGAATGGGACAGAGCTACCACAAATGTTAGCTATTTCTGCCTGCATCTGTGATAAAATCATTATTTCTCATTCACATCCTCTCTTTTCTTTATGCTATACCAAAGCCCTGACACACAACGCTAGTAGCAGTGAGCATGATTATGAAAAGAAACAATGTTTTTTACTAATCACTATATGTACAGTCTTGCAAACTCTTATGTAATGCAGTTTTTTTTTTAGCAGAATATTTTATATAAGAATTATGGGAAACCAAATCAGAAGAGTATTAAATTAAATAGCTGTTATGTTAAGAGGCATAGTGTTATTATGTGAAAATGCTATTTTTTAAACTGAATTTTAACCAATTTACTTTCATCATAGAAAGCAATTCAGAAAATGTTTACCTCATTCCCAATCCCATATTTAGACTGACAACAGAACAAAATTGAACCTTAACAAAACAAATAATTTAAAAGGATTGATAAAAAGGTTATGTTTATATTTTTAAAAAAATACCTAAAATATTAATGGGTTATAATGAATGGTATCATATTTATGCTTTTTCTTTAAACTTTGTTATATCTTTCAAGTTTTAAAAAATGAGCATATTTATATTTTCTGATTATAAAAATATTTAAATAAGCAATTAAGTGCATAAAACATCTTGCCATTTCTTGAGATCACAACTACTTTAACTTAATATGAACACTGGACTATTAATACAAAGTGCATAAACTAATACTGTAAAAAAAACCTTGAAAAACACAGAAAAGTATTTTTTAAAAAAGTCAAAACAATTTAGAATCCCCAAATCCAAAGATAACCAATAAAAATGTTTAACATTTTAGCTGAATATGAGAATAATGTCATAGTTTTAATCTGTTTTTACTGCTCAATATATTGTAAGTAAATTCATAAACCACATAATTTTAATGGCTACATGACAAAAAGATTCACTCATTCTACTGTTAACAATTTAGATAACTTGCTTTTATTATCAAATAATATTTTACAAATATATACTTGAAATCCATGTATATAAATTTTGTGGATCTCAATTTCCTTAGCATATATTACCACAAATTGAATCACTGGATCAAGAGGCAAGAATGTTTCAATTTTTAAGGTTTTTTTTTTTTTTAATACATACTACCAAACTACTTGCTAGAAAAATATACTATTTATACTTTATCCAACAAGAGATCTATCTGTCCATCTCACAGACAGAGCATGAAGTAGTAAAGTAGATAATTTTTAAACCTTTAGTAATGAAAAAATGTTAACTTGCTTTAATTTATATTGTTGTTATATGCTGTGGAGTCAGAGCCGACTCATAGCCACCCCTCCTTGGGTTTTTGAGGCGGCATCACTATGGAAGTAGATTGCCCAACCTTCCTCTGAGGAGTGGCTGGTGGGTTTGAAACCGCCAGCCTTCTGGTTAGCAGTCAAGTACCTTAGGCACTATGCCAGCTGATTATTAGTGAGATAAAGCAAGTGTGTCCATATGCTTACTAACAATTTGTAATTTTCTTTTTGCAAATTTTTTATACAAGTACTTTGCTTATTTTGTTTGGGGGTATTGTCATAGAAATTTTCTTAGTAATTTCTATGAGTTACTTATTAAAGTAAATAACTTTAGTAAGTTATTTACTTACTAAATAATTTCCTTCACATCCTTCATGCTTATTATGTTTACAAATTCTTTTTCAAGTTCAACTACTTACTGGTAAGTCATCTTCTTCTGGTCCTTCAGCTTCAGTTTTTGATGCTCTGCATCCTAATGAGACAGGTAAAAGGTAATTAAGCATTTTATACTTTAGTATTAATGACTGATTAATTACACCATTATAACACTGGGCTGTGGCAATCTGTCAGATGCTGGCCACTTACACTTGCCCCTATGATAGAAAATTAGAGAAGAAAGTGATTCTTCTCTTTTCCTATAGGGAAATTCTTAGTTACTTACTAGACTTTTCTCATATAGTCTCTAGCAGGCCTTGCTCCAGATTTCTCCTACTAAATTTCTCTCAAAATTGTGATACACCATATTCTTTTGGTGCTTAGGAGAGTCCTGTTTTGTGGGGAAAAAAAAAAAAGCCAGCTGCCCTTGAATGAACTCCACAGTGACCTTATGTTTGTCAGAGTAGAGCTGTACACCATAGGGCTTTCAGTGGCTGATTTTTTTGGAAGCAGATCACTAGCCCTTTCTTCTAAGGTATCTCTGGGTGGACTCAAATCTCCAACCTTTTGGTTAGCATTAGAGTGTGTTACCATTTGTACCACACAGGTACTCCAGGAGATGTCACATATTCTTTATTCAGTTTTCTTATTGCTCTGATTCAGAAAACTATGTTTAGATTTTAGTTGCTTCAATGCCAAAAGTAAACAAATGTGTCTTAATTGAGTGTTGATTGAAAATAATTGACTGTTGACTTAATTGAATGAGTCAGTGGCCAATTACTGCTACTGACTTCTGCACATCATTGTCTCTCTATATGTTTTCCTGGTATATAAGAGTGTCTTTCATTGCAATAAATTAGTAAGGAGAGATTTGTCCTAACAAAGTATTCTGAGTTTATGCTACCCCACAGAAACACAAGATAGCAGAACATAGTCATGAGATAAGGAGGAGAAATTTGCCCTTTGAAAAGGGTAACAGTTTATTCTTGTTTTCATGGAAGACTAAGTAAGAGAAATTTAATGGACTGCTGAACGTCTACTTAACAGCTAATAATAATTCTTTCCTAAATATAGAGACAGGCTCATTGAGCACTATAGTCTGTTCTACCTGGCTAGGAATTTGTAAGCTCCCGCTTATAAATCACCTTTTAAAACATTATACCCAAGCTATTTGAAAAAGTATACTCTTACAGGGACATGAGTATGTGCTTAAAAGTAATTCAAAACTTTAATTGAATCATAAATTTCAGAAGCCATGGGTAATGATTTTCACTTTAAAGCACTGGTTCTTCAACCTCAGCTAAAGATGAGAATCAAATGGAGAACATGTAGAAAATACATGAATGCCAAAGCATAACACTGAACAAAAATGTTAAAATCTCTGTGTAAGGTCCAAGGCACTATGTTTTGTTTTGAAGCTCCCCAGGTGATCCTATCCTAACTTGTAGCCAGGTTTGAGAACCAGTATAATCCTCTTTTTTGTTTTTTAATGCAAATTATCATCATCTGGCTAAGGCAGTGATTCCGTATTGCATTTGAACTGTTTGGGGAGTTTTAAAAATCAAAAGATGACTCAACCCCATTCCTGATAGTTAGATTCAACTGGAATGGGATGTGAACTAGTAGTTCTACTTTTCAAAAGCTCTCCAGGTGATTCTCACATGCAGTCAAGGCTGAGAATACTGATCTAGGGACAATCTGCAGATTCTTGTGATAAACATAAAATGATTGCTATCATTTGATAGTAATATTTTCTGAATCAAAAACTGCTTGTTTATTAAATTATGATCACTTAAAAAGTAGCTAAATAAATTATTTAATCAGAGTTTCATACACTATCAAAACAGATTTGCACTAAGCACTTCCATGTTCTTGCCTAAGGTTGCTCTCGTAATTAGTTCATCAAATTTTTGTATTAAACTGCCATTTTCAAAATATATAAATCACAATGTAGTCTAACACATTTTGATTCAGTTACTTTATATAAAATCATTTCCATTAATAGAGATAATTTTCCTTTATTAGAAAAACAAATCAAATCTTAGTTCTTCTTTTTTGGGAAGACATGTGTTTCAATGTGACTTATTTTTGTTTAATAATAAATAAGCAGAGGCCAGTCTTGTCTGAAAATACAGGCTTCCCATTTGAAACCTGCATGCTTGAGAGTTAATAATCTTAACAGACTGGCAAAATATATAAAGGAATAGATAAAATGGGGTTGTGACTTCAGCCAATCCTTGATAATGAAATCAGTTAAAAAGATAAGAAGGGTTTTGCTATAGAATTACTGAAGTCTACACATATTTGAGTATTATAAATCCCTCTTTATCATTACCAAAACAAAGACATGACTGATGTAAAACACACACACACTCACATACACTTTCATGGATATTTCAATGGGACTTTGATAGCTCTCCCTCACTGCTCCCTTCTTTCCTTTCTTCACTTCATTGATACTCTTATACCAAAAAGGGTGATTCATTTATTTAAACACTTATTTTAAAACATTTCCATTACCTGAAGGCTGCTGTAATGGGCTCTTCAAGATAATACTTGCAATTGATAGAGATTGTAATCTGACAAATATAAAAGAGGCTAACCAAAAACCAAACCAAACCCACTGCCATCAAGTCAATTCTGACTCATAGCAACCCCCACTGGGTTTCTGAGGCAGTAAATCTCTATGGAAGTAGATTGCCCAGTCTTGCTTCTGCAGAGTGCCTGAGGGGTTTGAACCACCAACCTACTTGTTAGCAGTCAGATGCCTAGGCACTGTGCTACCAGAACTGCTTAAAAGAGGCGAAGGAGTCTATTATTTTATCTTTACCTACAGTGAGCTTTTAAGGAGTTTTGGTGGTGTAGTACATAAGGCATTTGGCTGCTATTTGGAAGATTTGCGGTTCAAACCACCAGCTGCTCTGTGGGAGGAAGATCTACTTCCATAAAGATTTACAGTCTTGGAAACTCAATAGGGGTTGCTAGGAGGCAGAATAGACTTGATGGCAAAGGGTTTGAGCTTTCAAAGCCTGGTTATGTATAACAAAAACTTGCTTTCTTAAAATGCAAGGACCACTTTGGGTCAATTTTTAGAAAAATGGCCTCCCCTCTACATAATTGCTGAGCAAATTAAGAAAACCTACCTTGAGAAATATCCTCTATCGCTCTTCGAATGCCTCTATCAAAAGCTCTAGCATCAGCAGGACTCTGAAAGGTAAGGCCAAACTTTTTGTCATCAATCTTCCAGTGGTGAAATGTTGGAGTGACCTTATTGTAAATGAGGTCCTTTTTAAGCATACATTCCAAAACCACCTGTCAAAAGTCAAATGCCAAAAATTACTATACACATATTAAATATATCTTAGATACAAACTAGAGTGAAAAAGGAAGTATTTTATTTTTAAATAATGGAGTATTTGCCCATTATTTAAATAAAGAAGTCTTGCTCTTTAATCTACTCAACAAGGCCACAAAATATCTTTAAGAAATTCAGATGAGATAAAAAGTATCATGTAAGTTGGATTACAATATGTTTAGTATACTTCTATTTGAAAGCATACACACACCCAAACATTCTTCCCTGCCCACTATACTTCCAGAAGAATACACTAGGAACTACTTGTGATATGCACAGGGGCATGGTGTGGTGAAAATTTAACTTTCTAAAATGACTTTCTGAAACTTCTTTAAAGATCTATTAATATTTTGTTTGAGGATTTAATGATCATAGCAGTAGACCAAATACCTGTTTTGCCACTTTCTCAGTATATGAACCTAAGTGGGTTGCTTAACCTCTTAAAGGCTTGGTTTCCTCATTCATCTCTAAATGGGAAAAGTGATATTAAACATCTCATAGCTTTAACAGAATAATTAAGCATTCATGTAAAGAACAGTATAGAATGTGTGGGACAACACACTTTTGTTTACTTTTTTTCTGGTTTTTATTCTGAAATAATTTCACATATGCAGAAAAATGGCAACAGTTAGAAAATTCGTCTGCCCTTTACCCAGATTTGCCACACTTATTTTGAACAATCTTTATGTATGTGTGTGTATGAACATTTGTTATGAATATTTTGAAAAGAATATACATATTTATATCCCAAATCCAAAACCAATCCTGCTGCCACTGCGTTGACCCTGACTCATAGTGACCTCCACTGGGTTTCCAAGGCTGTAAATCTTTACTGAAGTATATTGTCTCATCTTCCTCCCACAGAGCTGGTGGGTTCAAACTGCCGACCTTCTGGTTAACAGACAAATGCCTGACATAGTATGCCACCAGAGCTCCTTATATTATGTCCCACTGGCCCTTAAGTATATATTTCCTAAGAGAAATGCTAATCTCTTATGTAATCATGGTACAGTGACCAAATTCAGGGAATTTAAAATTGACACAATGCTTTTTATCTAACCCACAGCTCATATTCAAATCTGTCCATTGTGCTAAAATTTACTTCACAGCATTTTTTTAAAAAATACACTTTATTGAAATATAATTTATGTACAGTGAAATACAAAAAACTAAACTGACATGGGTCAATGCATTTGGGGGGGGGGCAGCAGTATTACCTCTTCCCCTCCCCTCTGTCCCCTGGTAACCAACAAAGAAAGTTTCCTTCCCTTTTATAAGAATGAACTAATACTTTATTTGTCCTGTGAGTGACTTATTTTGTTCAGCATAACGTCCTCCAAGTTCATCTATGTTATGTAGTGCTGTGCAGATTCTATATTATTCTTTAGTGTTGCATAGTATTCCATAGTGAGTATGTACCAGTTTGGTTACCCACTCTTCTGTTGATGGGCACACAGGTTGTTTCCATCTTTTGGCTATTGTAAATAGAGCTGCGATGAACATATGCAGTGTAGTAAATACAAAGTGTGGCTTTTCTAGCCATAAGTCTTTGTAAACTCTGTGGTGGAATTTGCTGTAAGCAACTGAATAGCACCTGATTGTTAAAGTTATCCACCTGGGGTATTTCTGTTGGGAGCAGCACAAAGTAATGTTCCGGAAAGTTCACTCTCTCTCAGGTGTATAGAATTCTGATGTTGGGATTGGTCAGTGTGGCCACTCTGCCACACTCAAAAGGAGCCCTCCTAGAGGCAGAAGGAGTCTCTCTGACTGCTGGCTAAGAAAGACGTGCTGCTGAGAGAGAGACGTGAGAGAAACACGCTGTAGAAAAAGAGACGTGAGACACATACACTGCTGAGAGACTACTGGCTACTAAGTAAAACGGCCAGCTGCAAGAGACTGAGTGTATTTCTGAACTTGAGTTGTAGCTGTTGCTTCCCTAATACACCCCATAATCTGTGAGTTCTGTGTGGGCACTGAAGCAAATCATCGAACCCAGCAGAGAGGAGGTGGGTGCTGCAGGAGCGAAGATTGGTGTCAGGGCTGGCAAAAGGGCTGGAGGGAGGCAGCATGTCTAACCTCACAGCAATAGGCCTTGATGGTGATTCTGTCTTCCTCTTGTGGTGTTAGAGGAGGTCCGAAGATGCAGTCTCCCTGCTCCTTTGGCAACATGGGTGTACATATATCTGTTCTTGTCCTGGCTCTCACTTCTTCAGGATACGTACCTAGTAATGGGACTGCTGGGTCAAATGGTATTTCTAATTCAAGGTCTTTAGGGAATCATCATACTGCTTTCCACAGTGTGTGTATCATTTGACAGTCCCACCAGCAGTGTATAAGACTCCCAATCTCTTCACATCCTTGCCAGCCTTTATTATTTTCTGTCTTGTTTGCCATCAGTGCTGGGGTGAGATGGTATCTCATTGCTGTTCTAATTTGCATCTCTCTGATGGCTAGTGATTGTGAACATTTCCTCACGTATTTGCTGGCTGCCTGAATATCCTCTCTGGTGAAGTGACCATGTCTTCTGCCCATTTTTTAAATTGGATTGTTGATTTTTGTTGTTGAGGTGTTGGAGTGTTCTATAAATTTTAGAGATGAGTCCCTTTTCAGGTATGTCATTGCCGAATATTTTTTCCCAATCTGTAGGTTCTCTTTTTACTTTTTTGGCAGTATAATTATCAACAAGTATGAATTTGTTGCTGTCACTTTGTTATGTGCTTTTTTGTGATGTTGCTGATTTCTTAGTTCCATATAATTTTCTGTGTCGAGTTAATTTTGTTTATGAATTGTGTTATCACTTCCCTCACTGCTATTATTTTAGTGTTTGCTAAATATTTGTGCTGGTCTTCTATTTTATTTTTGATGTGAAGGTTTTCTTTTTTTTTTTTTTTAAATCATTTTTCTTTGAGGTTACCTTGTAATTTATAATTATCTTCCCAAGTTTAGACTCCTCCGTTCTATCCTGCAGTTGTCTTGACGCCCCTACTGTGGTGGTTAAGTTTGTGTGTCAATTTGGCTGGGCCTGGTTGAGTGGCTGGGCAGCTAGTGGTAGTTATTCCCCATGATGAGACTGGCAATCAACTCCATGACAGGACCTACCACAAGCAGCTGAGTAAGCTGCTTTAGGGATGTGGTCTACTTCCCTTATATAAGCAGCAGCTTTGGGAATGGTCTCCAGCTTATGGCACACGTGAACCCTGCATGTAGCCATGTCAGCAGCCTGCCATGCTCTGCCAACCTTAGGAATTTCAATGGACTTGAATTAATGGCCTGCCACGTGGTTTGGTAACATTGGGACTGTGTACTTTTTACTTGTCAATCTTGGGCTTGTTGGTCTCTGCAGTCAGCAGCTGTCTGAGTAAAGAAAAGCCTCTAGCTTCAGTGGGCCTTTCACACAGCCCCAAGAGCCTGGCACTTGGAACTTAGACTTATAGGCTCCTGAACTGTAAGAGAATAAACTCCTGTTTGCTCAGGCCATCCCATTTGTGGTATATTCCCATCAGAGCGGCACTAGGTAACCAGAACACCTACCATTTATAAGTTATGTAACTACACAATTTTTTCATTTTTTTGGTTTGTAGTTGTCCTCATTTGTCAATTGATATTTCTGGTTCCCTGTTTACAAGTAGGTTTATTTACTCTGGATACTTCCATAACTGGGTTGCTTTCTGTATTATGTCATCATGTGTGTTAATGGTCAGTTGTTTACTGTTGTTGGTTTTTTTTGTCCAAAGGACTCCCTTAGCATCTCTTGTAAGGTTGGTCTGGTTTTAACAAATACCCTTAATTTCTGCTTATCTGGAAATCTCTTAACTTCACCATCATATTTGAGGGACAGTTTTGTTGGGTATGTAATTCCTGGTTAGAAAATTTCTCTTTCACGGTTTTATGTATACCACCCCATTTTCCTCTTGCCTGCATGGTTTCTGCTGAGAAATCAGAGCTTAGTCTTTTTGGTTGCCCTTTATAGGTAACTTTTAGGTTTTCTTGTGCTGCTTTTAGGGTTATCTTTGGTTTTGGTGACTTTGATGATGACAAGTCTTGGTTATTTTCTTTTGGGGTCTATCCTGTTTGGGGTTTGTTGGACTTCTTTAATGGATATATTCTCATCTTACATAATATATATTCTCATCTTTCATAATACCAGGAAAATTCTTTTCTAACAAATCTTTGACAATTTTCTCAGTGGTTTTATTTTCTCTTCCTGTTCTGGAATTCTGATTACACATAGGTTATTTCTTTTGATGGTATCCCACATGATCCTTAGGCTGTCTCCATTTTGTTTTGATCTTTTTTCTGACTGATCCCTTTCCAAAGAAGTACTCAGGTTATTTGTCTTCACTGTCACTAATTCTGTTTTCCACTGATTCAATTCCACTTCTTTGCCCATTCAATGTGTTATCTATTTCTGAAAATTTAGTATTACTCTTCTGGATTTCTATCTGGAGATTTTGTATCATTTCTGATTTTTCATTATTTTGTCATTTTGTTTTTTTTATTGTCTTGCAAAATTGTTCTAGGGTTTTCTCTGTGTTTTCCTTAAGCTTGTCAGTGTTTTCCTTGATCTGTCTCTCAATTTGTTGAAAAAACAAAACCAAACTCAAAACCAAACTCACTGCCGTTGAGTCAATTTCAACTCATAGCGACCCCTCCTTGGGTTTCTGAGGCGATATTACTACAGAAGTAGATTGCTCAAACTTCCTTCTTAGGAGTGGCTGGCGGTGCTTATGGTGGTGGCTGAAGGTACCTAAATGTAATTCTTTCAAATTCCTTATTAGGAGGGGTTCCAATGCTGCCTCCTCCTCAGGGATGTGTTCTGAGTCTATATCCTGGTCCCTTGTTTCTCTTGCTTCTTTGTGTGGACTGTGATGCTCTGTTGTCTCTGAGATATTGTGACATTTTTGTATTTATATTTAATTGCTGATTGTATGATGGAGTGACTTGTCCACAATTTTTG